AAATACAGAGAGAGAGAGAGAGAGAGAGAGAGAGAGAGAGAGAGAGCAAGCAAAAGTTTATCATTTTTTATCAAGCTGGATGACACGAACGCGCCATCAATCTCTATATTTCTTCCAAGTAATTTCGCACTGTATCACCCTTCGTGAGGCGACTCCTTCTCGACAGTCAATGCGGATTTACGCCTACACAACATGCACTACGTAATGACGCTTTGTGAGCGTTTAAATTTCTCACTCACCATTGCGCGTAGATATCCCGCGACGTCCAGGTCTTCAGCATCTAATCTGCCATACATCGGTCGCACTTCACTACACTGCACTCGCGATCGTTTCAACGAGTTTTGAGAAAACGACGCTTGACGACTTCAATAAAAGCATACTGAAAATTCGAACGTTCTAAGAATAAACTAGCGAGCCGCGAATCACGTGAAAAAGAAGCGACTCCAGGACACATTCTGCTGCAAATTTGAAACAAAAAATGTAACATCGCCGATTAGATATGCGAATTAATTTTTGCGGTCGTCGTAACTCCACAATTTTTACTTGGACAACTATCTAGATATCACAAACTTCTGGAAGACGTTTGAAATATGTTCAAAGGACATCCTATAGTTTACGCCTTTCAGACGTATTGAAGACGACTTTTTAGAATCCCATGCTGTCTAGGATATGTCCCAATTTTCGACGGAGAAGGGTTAAATATGCGCGAGGCACCGAGAGAAATTATCCGATAAAATATTATCAAACGCATATTTCCGCTTGAAATCCAATCAAATGCCGATCAGGAAATATCTGATGAGATATATCGATTCTTAATTGTTTTAATCGGCTTATGCCGACGAAATGCCATTATGATCGCGAGTCTTCGATTGAATTTAATCGGATATAAAAATTAATCGGAATTTGGTCGGAAATATCCGTCTGATAATTTTTTATCGGATAATTTATTTCTGTGTATATGGGAAGAGTCTACAGACCTACCTTCGAGCCGATCCCGTTGGGCCCGAACCGGATCCTCCGATGCAGCATCTGCATCCATCGTGTGGTCGCAAGTTCCTCCAGATCTGAAACAAAAAGCAAATCTCCTGGTCAGTTATAACGTCACATTTTTTACTTCTGCGTCTAGTATCTGTACGATCGAATGCAAGGCGCCGGATTTGCGATACATCCTGCAATACTGCAGACTTGAAAAAGAGATAAATCGACGGTTGATAAATAGCCGGTAGATATTAACTCCGCACACGTTACTGACTCATCTTTCCATCATGCACGGAAATGACGCATCGTTGTCTAATGTGCCTTGCGTGCGTACCGTTTTTTCCCTGCATTTCTTCTTTCGACCATTACACAATCTATCGAATGAAGACGCTTCGAAATACAACAACGTGTTTACGCGTATGCAGTTCTCTGCAATACATTATAAAATTCCACTGTTCTCTATGTCGATATAAATTACGAATACAAATTACGAAATACGAGAGAAAAAATATTTAAAAGATAGTAAATATTTCTTTATTGGGTGCCGATAATATATTTACTTAAATCCAAATTCTTTGAATTAAATAAACAATCGTTTTTATAAAAGACTAAGATTTTCCTAAAGTTTTAAAAAAATTTATATTTCCTCATCTGAAAAATATTTTGTATATTAATACAAGTAAATATGTTATATTAGTGCCCACCAAATAAATAGTTATTATTCCTCAAATATTTATTTCCCTGCCGCGAATCATCAGGCTCCAAAATTCGATTATATTGTAGTTTGTGTTAAGATCGCTAAAAAAATTAGATATATACGTGTGTTTTTAAAATTAAAAATGCTTGAATCTACAATATACACTATGCAAGCGACGATATAAATGATTCCTGAAAGAACCACGGCTCTCGCCGTGCTATCGGCATTGCCGATCTGACTTTAATGTGTCGGTGCAGCATTAAGAAATCGCGATCGCGAACTTCGATAATTTGATTGAGTAAACACCACGGTGTGTCGCGTTTATATCGCCGCGCTCTGTCGCCTCACGTGAACTGCAAATTGCGAATTATCGCGGGTTTTGTTCCCGCCCGCCGTAGAGAATCGCGTTACGCACGTGTATGCGTATGCATTCACGTTGCGCAAAGATTGTCGCGATTGCATATCGTCTCTTTCCCCCCCCCCCTCTCTCTCTCTCTCTCTCTCTCTCAGTCTTCTTCTCCCTCGCAGATTTATCGGAATCTCTCGGAATTATCGGCATCTCGATCGCGCGTTTCAACGTCCCTCCCCGAGGTGCAACCTCACCTCACGCACACGCGTATGCGCGCGTTTTGTATGCCTTTTTATGGCTGCCGCCTCGCAAAAGTCGTACGCTCGCGCCTACATACGCGCGTGTGCGTTACGTGAAGAGTTTCGTGTTGGCGGCGTGGCTTTCTTTCGGGTCCTCGTTGCTCAACTTTCAAATTTGTTCCGTTTTTTTTTTCTTCCGGATCACATGGGGATATTTATCGCGCCGAGATGTCCGGTATTTAACTCTGTCCTAAATCAATAATTAATCAACAAAATCGAGATCGATACAAGAAGTCAGAGAAACTAATTTGCAACATTGATCTCGCAATTAATCTGCTCGTTTATCATCGGCGTGACTTTCTATCCGGCCTTGGTTTTACTCCGCTCCCAAATTGATTCTTCCCTCTCTTTCGGTTCGCGAGATTACGAGGCTGTTTCGCGTCAACCCCCTACAGCAGGTGTTGCTCTTCAGGGGCTCGCTCGCTCGCTCCCTCGACGATTATTGTGTGATTCGCCGATCTGAACAGTCTGTTACTACTTTTTGTAGCTAGTTTTTGCGAGCCTCACGGCTGATTCGAGGATCACGCGCGGCGGGAGAGGACGAACGGGTTAGACGAAAGATCGAGCGAGAGAAAGAGAGAGGCGGAGAGACGGAGCGAGAGAGGGAGAGGGAGAGGGAGCGTAGGCCCCATCGCGAGTGAATGAACCCGGGAGAACGAGTGAGAGGTGTAACACATTCATTTAAGCGATACACTAAATTCTCACAGCTGGCGTGTGCGAGCTGCGGTCCCTCGCCGCGGTGAGATTCTTTCTTTCCTTCTTTTCCCTCTTCTTTTTTTCTTTCCTTTTTATCATCACTCGTTGAACTTAACCGCGACGTTAATTGCAACTCCGACCCGCGTCGGAGTAATTGCGTCTATTATAGTCGCCCGGAATTATGGGTCGAGCTCTCGCGCGCGGGCTCGAGGGAGGAAAGGCAAGGGACGTGCGGCGATTGTCGCGGATATGTGGGTTAACGTAATCCGCGACGACGGCACCGACCCGGATTCTTTTCCAGCATCGTCTAACGTGCAACATGAGCGACGCTCATCGCGTTGGGATCAAGGACGCCGCGTTATCTGCGCGGATCCGCTGCGCTGTGACTTCGTCGTCGCTGATAAGTGCTGGCTCGACTGGTTGTTAATTAAAACTCGGATCCGGGCGCGAAAGTTCCAATAAAGTCGCTCAGACCCGCCTCGTGTATTCCCCCTCGATGCGGCAGACAGCGACGAAGGAACGTTTCTCGAGATAATTCGTTTTATCGAGAATTCATTTCCGCGATCGGCACGCACACAGATGCGCGCGAAAGAGAGGTGGGACCGCTCTGGGGATTAAGGGGGAACATCACGGTTAAAGCGAAGACACGAGAATACCTCTTTAAGAATTTTTCTTTAAATAATAATACATTTTCATTTTTAAATGGTTATTTTACATGTATTTAGTGCATGTTTTAGAAAGACTTTTATGTTTAAAACGTATATTTCATAACGAGTTAGGTTCTATAAGATAAGGCTCCTAGGGAGAAAATGGTTATATATAATTACATAAAATTATATATAATTATATATGGAAATCATATATGAATTTTCTTCCTAAATGGTCACATTATTAATCATATATATCCACATGGAATAAAATAACATTCCAGCGATCAAAGAATTTCTAAATATTTTCCGGGCCAGTTAAATATTTTCTGATCCAGTAAACAAAAAACATCTTGAAATATTGATTTTACGTATATCATTACATAGAACATTTTCGTTTAATATTTGAAAAACATTTCAAAGATACTACCGGATAATACGATCTCTTTGCCGAGAGCGGATATTGCAAAAATGTTTTAGAAATATTCGAGTCTCAGTTATTCGTAATAACGTTAAAAACGTAACAACATTAAAAACTACATATTAAAAAACGTCGCATATTACTAAATATAATTGCAGTAACGTTCTATTAATGATGTTTTGCCTACTAGGGAGAAGCCACTCCTGCGCGCTTCGACAACTCTTCATATAAATTCCCCTCTAACTTCGTCAATTTTCGAATAACTTTACTAAGATTGATTTTTCCGAAAAATCGATTCTTTGAAATTGCGTTGCGCGGACGAACCCTCGCAGCCCCCTCAACACCCGTTGCATGCTTCTGTTGCAGTTACGATAATGTAGACTCGCCTAATTATGCCAGGCACCTGAACGGCCACGGCTCGCCGCCGGCGACGAACTCGTCGTCCCAGCGTGATTTCCATGGAGGAGGCGGCGGCGGGGGCGGTGGCGGCGGCACCTCGTCGCCGTACAATCACAATTATTCGGGCGACGGCAGCTATCAGTACGGCAGGTTCGACGCGAGCGCCCTTCACATCGCCCATGCACTCAAGCAAACCGAGCTCCAGAAGGGCTACAGCAAGGCGCGCGAGAAACCCATCGATTACTATCTGGTGAGTCACAATCGGTCGCGACCGTTGATGTAATCGCCCGTCACGGTCGCCGACCGTATAAGGACGAGAGCGCCGCTTTGATACACCTATGAATCTCGCACGCACCGGCTTCCCGACGCGACCATGTCGCGTAAACGACGACGACGACGGTCTCTCTCAAAGAAGAATAAAAAATTCCACCCTCCTTGCACGTCCTCGCCCACCCCCGAAGTGCAGCCGCGGCGGGCAACAACGCGGAGCGCCGGCCGCCGGGGGGCAGATGGCGGGAGAGTCATGTGAAAATAATCGTTAATTAATAACGCAAATTAGCAATGATAATTCTCCGACTATATGGAGAAGCGAACAATGGCGCGCGTGGTAATTGACTTTTTGCGCTCGCGAGCGCAACGCGCGTTCGCGGCCTGTCGGTTATTAGCTTCTTCCTGAAACAAGAGCGAGGGGAGGCACAGAGGGGGGGAAATCCATTGTGTGCATGAGCGAAAATACGCACAATGGGTTGCCGGCTACTTCCGTAGTAATAAAATCCAGATCAATGGCGTTGCGGAGATACACGGCTGCCCTCTTTCTCTCTCTCTCTCTCTTTCTCTCTTTTTCTTTCTCTCTTTTTTTCTCTCTCCTCGGAAATTTGGCGGTTTATCGCCGAAATTGCTCGCTAAGAGGTTTGCTTAATGGTCCCGGAATGGCGGATCTTTTCGAGTTTCCGACGCCGCGCTGGAACGCGATCCCGGTATTACGCGGTGGTGAACCCCCGCAGAGAGCCGTAGGATCATCCGCCGACGTCCGCGAAGAATGCGGTAAGCCATCGGGCGCGAATGGACCTTACATGAAAATGAGATTGCCGCTTTTCCCATCCGCGCCGGCCGGGGGGATAATAAGGCCGACGAGCCGCTAGTCGCTCCACTATCTGCCGCGTTTTCTCTCAATGCGCGAAAGCGCGTTCGACGACGAAGCAAAGCGGTCACCGCCGTCGCCGTCGTCATGATCGATCCTTACTCATAGTTATCTCGCGAAACGTCAGTCGGTCTATGTATGGCGTTACGCGAACCAAAGCGGCGTGGGCATCATACTAGACGAGACAAGACGAGACGTACGACTTCCCGAATCCTTTTCTCGTCCTGCGAAAGGGTTTTCCCAGGAGTTGGTGCGGTAGCAAGTCGCGGTGCACTCGCCGCGAGTTCGTTAAGCCAGCCGCGAGGCAATCTCCGATTTTTCTCTCTGCCTCTCTCTCTTTCTCTCTCTCTACCTCGCGCGAGACGGAATTATCGTCGGCGTGATTTATACGGTATTTCGTGTCGCGCGAAGGGTAGAGGAGGATCGGGGGTCCTTCCTACGCTCGCATAGTATCGACGATGTAGTCGAACCAGCTCCGAGAGAGCTGCCGGAGCTGCCTACACGCGCCGTCGATGATCAGATAATCGCTACGTGGCGGCGATAGTTTCCTTCTCACGCCGGCACCGCGACAATCACCGGCATTACGTTTAATTGGCGGAACAACGGACCCCGGAGAATCCCAGGAACGACGGACCGGGGGGACGCGTAACAGATCGTTGCACGTGACTGTGATCGAATGACCGGAATTACACTGACGTGTTATGAGCCCCCTTTCGAGTCGAGCGAACAAACGAACAAACGAACGAACGAACGGACAAGCAAAAATTGCACGAACAAACGCGTCACGTGACGCGCGCGCGCGCGCGATTACGGGATTCGGAATAAGTAGGAATTAGCGATGGACATGCAACCACTTATTAATCCGCCGCGGGCTCCCTCGTAAGAGGGATGTTAAGCGGATTCTGCGAAGGATCGCTTAACGCTGCAACTTCCTCGCAAGAGAGATTGTTCAATAATGGAAAAGAGGCTCGGTAAAAATGAAAAGCTCGGAGAGCTTTCGATAATGATGCAACGCGCGGCCCGATTATTACGGAATATTTCGCAGGGAAATTAAAAAATCACCACGTAGGTCGATATTCACGGATAAAATTCTTATTAAGAGAAAGAGACGGATTTTCCGAATTCGCTGGAATTTTCGTTGTTATACCTTACTATACGGCCCTTTTTTATTATACACGCAGAAAAATATATTCGCTAGGAAAAGTGGTTACTCAGTTTACTTTCCTTCCTTTGAGTAATGGTTATCTTCAACAAGGAATATTTTTCTGAAATAACAGTCTTAAGATATACCCATCACAAATTTCAGGAAAGCTCATCAACGTGCACTCGAAAGAAAAATTTATTCTCTTTACAAGAATATTTTGGAACTTCATAAAGTTGTATAGTTATGATTTAGTTGTATAAGATATGGGACAGCAAAATTAGTCCCGTGGTGGGAACAAATGATTTATTACTTTCAATTTGCTGCTCTAAGCAACACTTTTGCAGTAAAGATATAACTAACTCGACGTAAATAGACGAGAACAAATGTGATTAGTATCGCGGACGATGTTTGTTAAAATGACAAATGATGAGAAGTGATTCGCAACGGTCACTGTTCAATTTGTTTCCCCGACGAACATCAGACAGTAAACGAGTCTTTGTTCTGATAACCGGGGGATTTTTCTTAGTGCGAGATTTGCTCGAGGAGCTTCCTGGAGCGGATTAACTTTCCTCGTTGACGTGAGCGCGCGACTTCCTCGGGACGCAGAAACAATGCGACGCGGCGGTAGCTGCGCGTTGTCGTTCATGGTTATTCAAATCGTTTCAAACCACGGAAGAACGCGCGTGTTCGCTCACACACCGTCGTCTTATTTTCCCTCGTACGGGAAAGCACCGGGCGAGCAGGACGCTCGTGCACACGCAAAGAGAGAGAGAGAGAGAGAGAGGGGGGACGGAGAGGACTTTACGTTTGCACGAACATGGAGCAGCGGCGACGGTGGCGGAGGGGAAGTAGAATTATTTCCGCTTGCGGTACTTCTGCACTTGATGGCTAATTAGAGAATCGTTGCCGGGCCGCGGAAACAGCCGGGGGGGATAGCGCGTGCGAGTATCTCGCCGTCTCTCAAGGCGCCTTCGCGCGTAAACGCTTAGGGAAAATTAATCCGTTAAAGGCCATTGTGTCCCATTTTCCTCGGAATGAACTCTAAACGGCGAACAAATCTCACCATCCGCGAGAGAGAGAAAGAAAACATTTTCCCTCGCTCTCTCTCTCTCGCCTCTAAACTTCATTTGCACGCCGCACGGCTCGTATTTTGAAGAAAAAAAAAACAAAAATGATATTCCGCGAGTGTAACTTTCGTCTGTTTCTAACGTAACGTAACCCGAAACGGTAAAACGTAATAAAAGAAGAAACGCCTGGGATTATGTACGCCTGAACCGCGAAATTTCGCTGGTCGTTTCGAAAGACGTCACGGACAGATTTTCTCGCGAGCGAAAGTCGCGCGCATTTTCATCCCTTACATTCGCTTCCTCCACACCGCTGACAATACGTACGTATCGCGCATTCCGATCGCGCAATTGCGGCAATTGAGACCCGCTGACTTCTGTACATCGGCGCGAGATAAATGATGCAACGCGTCGCTACGGGATAAAGATCTCACAGAGACACATCGATGTTCTTTGCAACGCGTGCATCAGGCTGAGAAAAAACTGTTTGGTATTTGTAACTGTACACAGAGAGAATGATTTGGTTGAATCAAATAAACGCTTCTTTGGAATAGTCTAAACGAATTTTTTGATTGATTGAACAAAATTTTGTTTGAAGCAACAAAAATATTTATTTGCGGCTTCCAAAGAAATATTTAATATAAGAAAAGTTCCAAAGAAATATTTTTGTTGTGTCAACCAAATAATTTGTTTGGATTATTCCAAAGAAACATTTATCTGATTCAATAAATCGTTCTCTCTGTGTATAGTAATTTAATAATCACTATAAATTGGCCGCAGTTATGCAAGAATCTAATCCACGAAAATTTAATTTTTAAATATTTTTTTGAGAGATTTTTGTTACCGATGGGTTGTTCATACTTTCTACGTAAAGCAAAAGAGATGCAAGCATCTAAAATTAATAAAAAAAACAATTTTTATTTTCTACTAGTTGCATCCTTTTTATCTACTTTTTAAGTGTTAAATTTGTCAATGAGTATCTTTAAAAAAGAAGAAAATCGACCACGCCTGATTTCTTGAACAACTAAGGAGAATCTTAGTGCATCTACACTTTTTAAATCAAGTGTCAGATGTTCGTTTTTATTGTTTTCAAAACATACTTTACTTAGGACTGGATTATTCTTGCTTAACTACGACCAATTATAGTTAAAGAAACTACTTTTTATTAAGTATAATATTAAATATAAATAAAAAATATATGGTCAGGGCCAGAAATAACTCTCTATAACTTCAGTTAGATCAACTATCTTTTCTCTCTCAGTGCTGTTATTTACGTGTCGCGAACCATCGTTTCGAGATCGTATTGCGGGAATTGTATCGAAGAAAACCCGTTGCCGTGACTCTTCGAAGGTGTATTCTCGTTTCTGTCTTCGATAACATTCCCCATCGTCTATATTTTCGTTGTATTAATGTTTCCAGCGACCGACGACAACGACGACGACGACACAAGCGAAACGTGTTGCGCGCGAGCAGAGGCAGAACATATAATTTTTTTAGAAATACACCGTAAGGGGGGAAGGATTAGTTCACTTTTGTCGAGCGGCAAGTCCGCGTTTCCCCGAGGAGACTCTTGGAAACGAATGAAAGCGGCAACGCGACGTGAAAGTAAATTATACAAAAAGTGGAGTACACCTACCTCCGAGGTCGGCGCTGCAGGCGCTTTAAGAAATAGAAGCGTTTCATTGCGTTCCGACATGTGTACGAGAACTCCGCCTTACGATTAGCGGAATGCCTTCCTGACACGTAATAATGGCTCAATAAATTGATAACGTGGCCTTAATTACGCACGGCGTGAAATTACAAGCGAAATGTTACGCTCGAACTACGTTCGAAATTAATGCATCATATTGTCACACTGACACTGCGAAATTACACGATTCAATTAAAAAGTGACGACGTCACTTTATACGTCACTATTTTATCACAATCATTACTGCAACATTTTAGTTGAACGGTAATAAAAAATACTACTACTGCAACGACATTTTGAATGTCCCGTTTCTCTTTTTCGCCCTTTATCAATTATATCACGATCGCTCTTTCTTCTTTTCAGATTTTTTAAGAATAGCGCGATTAATTTCAATTATTCAGCCAACGTTCTCGATTAAACGTTAATAAATGCGGCGAATTTACAGACCGATTCACGATTCTCTTTTTTTTGTCGATGCTGTATTAGGATCGGGATGAGCAGACACGTCTCGAGATGAAACATCGGAAGGAGGAGGACGATCTATACCGGAAGTTCGCTCACCATCGCGAGGAAGAAGACAGACGGATCCGCGAGGAATTCCGGGTAGGTAATTGAGAACACAGATTTCTCATTAACGGAAAAAAGTCAATGCGACGCATTAGCGATCATTCGCAATTAATTAATCTCGCGTGTGCGTATATGTGTGAGAGTTTGTGTGTGCTTCGAAAAGGACGAGTGGGAGAAGGAGCTGGAGCAATTGTCGGCGAGATGGGAACGAGAAAAAGGCGGAAGAGTTCGCACCCAACAATTTCAGCAGGAGAAGGAGGACCTGGAGAAGAACATGACTCTACGCAGGGACAAGAAGAAAGAGAGTCTCACGCGCAAGATGCTGGAACACGAACGGTATTTGTTATGCAATTAACGCGATACTACCGTCTTGTTTTTTTAAGGGTCGCACGCGCGGGACACGGTTTTCGACGCGTATTTTAAAAGGAGGATAATACCCGTGGAAGCCTCACCGGGTCGTTGATTACACAGAGAGAATTTTATAGCAAAGATTACTGTAGAATTTCGTAATCGTGGGATATAGATTGATATTTCGCGGTAATCGAGACTATCGTTTCATATTTTATATGCGCTACTTTTACTTCAGGAACTGAAATGTTAAAAAATTTGCTACATTACTAATTTTGCGAAATGTACTATGTTCTTTGGCAAGAAAGACCTCACAGATAGTTTACTATGAACATAATAAAATTGAAAAAATTTTATATGGAGAAGAAAGAAAAGCTATAATTCTTTAACTGTGATTCACTCCGTATACATGAAGGGAATCTTATAATAAAAATTATTATAGAATTTTGTGATGTTGAGAAACAGATCGACATTCTGCAGTAATTGACTATTCTCTCATTTTACATGTGTTATTTACATTTTAGGAAATGAAATATGCTAATAAAAAATCTGCTATATCTTGCTAAATCTTGCCCTTAGCAAGATAGAACAGTTTATTCCTGTACTATTAGAAACATGGTAAAATCGAAAAGAATTTATATGAAGAAAGCAAGCTATGATATTCTCTCCGTGTACGAACGTCTCCGTGTACGAATTTAAAATTTAACACAACAATCAGAGAATTGGAGATGGCAAGATCGATGGCGATTTCGAATACGATGCCGCGTTGATTTTTGACTGAACTCTCGACAGCTGGTGGCTTCGTCGGGATTAAATCACGAATTTACGTTTGATTAAAAACCGACGGCTTCCTTCTACCCGGTAATTCGAGAGTTACCGCATATTTTCACGTGTATAAAATCGCTCGCGAATTGTTTATCTCGAGCTCCCTCGCGGGAGCAACCAATGGTTTCCCGACGTTCTCCACCGCGGGAAACAACTTTATATCGCAACTGCGGCATCATGTTAATATCGATTCCGCACATTTTTCGCCGCGGAAGAATTTACGAAGGAATTACGCATGCAACGTTACGAGCCGCGGTAGTTTCGGCTTCATATTTTTCCTTTCTTCTCTCTCTCTCTCTCTCTCTCTCTCTCTCTCTCTCTCTTCCTCATTTTTTTTCGGACGATAAACAAGCCCGCGCGCATCGGCGATCTCGTGCGCGCGGGCCGGGTTTTTCGCGTTAGCAAAGCTCCTCGTTACTCCCGATCAATTTATAGGGCGGCAACCGCCGCGCTGGTAGAGAAACAGAGCTCGGAGATGCTGGAGCTGATCAATGAGGCGAGGAGCGAGTACATGCTCCAAGAGAGTTTATATCTCGACGAGGGAGACGGTTATGCTCAGGAGGCACCGCCCCCGCCTTATCCATCGCGCGCGCCACCCCCGCAGCCCCCGGCCCTCGCCAAGTATCACATCTACAATGATCCGTTGGAGTTCGCCGACATGGATCAGATAGCTATTTCGGTAAGCCCTTCGCCGTGGAATTCTTCTTTCGGCGGCGGCGAGTTTCTCTGCCGCGAGTCATCTCCGTCCCGTCGCCGAAACAGGATCTCCCGCGGATGTCTATCGCGAATACTTCGGCTCTCTCGTCTCTATCGCCGTTTTGCGCTGGTCGTGGTGCTCTTCTCTCGCCTCGTTTCACGCTGGTTCGTTTTTTCCAATCGCGTCGCGCTCGCAATCTCGGTTTAATTGCGCGCGCTCGTTCGAATTCGAGCGTGAATAAACGCGACGCGCCACGCGGAGAAACTTCAGGCGCGATCCGAAAAAGTTTTTTATCCCGCGGCTTTTACGACATCGCTTTCGCATGTTCGATCTCGCTGGCGTGGATCTCTGCCGCGGGAAAATCACGACCACGATAATAATATGTGAAACGGCTGCCCGCGATAGAGCTGGACGATATTCGCGTCTTATCAACTTTAACCGCTTTCATAAGACACGCTTCGCTGATGGCCACTTATTTACGACATACCGATATCATTATTAGGTAGCCCAGGAAGATCAAAAAACGTTCACTGATTTAGTGCGGCAGTTGGTGAGCAGATGCGGGTCGGATATAGAAAAGGCGCGGACGATATTCCGATGGATCACCGTGAAAAATCTCAACACTATGCAGTTCGACGAGAACCTACGGGGGGACACTCCCATGGGTCTGCTGAGAGGCATCAAACACGGCACCGAGAGTTACCACGTTCTGTTCAAACGACTGTGCAGGTAACGTCGTCCCGAGGACGAGACGCTCGCGACAAATGAGCTCACTTACGCAACTGATCTCGTCTCGTAATAGAAAAGAGGCGGGTGAAAGCGCGCGTCCGCTACTCGGCAAAAGTCGCATTTACTTCCGCGCCTGTTTGCGTTACGTTTAGCGTGACGTCAGCAGTTTGACGGAACAGCGGTGTAAGTTGCGCGTTTGTGTGCTCTCGGGGCAACAAAGCAAACAGAGGGGGAGTTGGCGAGAGAGCGACCGTCGTGAAAAGTGACGCGGAAACGCGCGCCAAAAGTTACGCCGCGAATCGAATTAATCGAGCGTCTCGCGCGCCCCCGCGGAGACTCGCCCGTCTAAATTGCGGCATGTTCGGATACAGTTACGCCGGCCTGCACTGCGTGGTCATCAAGGGTTACAGCAAGTCGGCCGGCTATCAGCCGGGTGTCTGCTTCGAGGACAACCGATTCCGAAACAGCTGGAACGCCGTGTACGTGGCAGGTGCATGGCGATTCGTTCAGTGTAATTGGGGGGCGCGACATCTTGTCAATGCTAAAGAAGTTCCCCGTCCTGGTCAGGCGAAGGCCAAGAACGACAGTCTCAGGTACGAGCACGAGGACCGCGAGAGTCGGCGAACGCCCGCGCGAGTCGGGAATTCTCGTACCCCTCGATTGGACCTCGATTTTCCGACGTTTGAAATTTAACACCCACTCTCCGATACTCTCGGACGATCGGATTGACCTCTTTCGAATCCACTCAAGCTACAACTTTCGTTTAAAGCCGCGAGATTCCGCCAGGCTTTAAATTTTCATTTTTTTCCGAGGCACTAAACCTTCGTGAAACCCTCAGGCATCAAATTGCTCGTTTATCGCTTATCTGCGGCGCAAATATCGATGAACGCTCGGGTTCAATAAACATCGAACGTGTCGTAAACGTCGAGAAATGCGATGCGAAAGTCAAGATCGAAAGAGCGGGTGCGAGACTTCCGCGCTCGGGATGCGATTACGTAACGCTCTTGCGCGCCGCGCAAGACGACAAACGAGACGACAGTTCAAAGTCACGGAGACCTTTCCGTTCAGGTACGAGTACGACGATCATTATTTCCTCACGGATCCCCGGGAGTTCATATACGAATTTTTCCCTCTGCAAGAGGAGTGGCAGTTGCTGAAACAACCGATTTCACTCAAGGACTTCGAGGAGCTACCTTTCGTGCGATCTTTATTCTTCAGGTGAGCCGACATGCTTCTCCCCTTTCTCTCTTGGAATACCAAAGTAACGGGGGGGGGGG